TCATCTTAGCCTAGCTTAGCTCAGCTCAGCTTAGCGCAGCGCAGCATTAGCAGATCATAGCATAGCATACCATAGCATAGCATACCATAGCATAACATAGCAAAGCAAATCATAGCACAACATAGCATAGCATAGCATAGCATAGCATAGCGCAGCATAGCATATCATAGCATAGCATAGCTTAGCTTAGCATATCACAGCGCAGCATAGCATAGCATAACATAGCATAGCATAGCACATCATAGCATAGCGCAGCATAGCATAGCATTGCATAGCATAGCATAGTATAGCGCAGCATAGAATATCATAGCATAGCCTAACATAGCATAGCATAGCGCAGCATAGCACAGCATAGCATAGCACAGCGCAGCATAGCATAGCATAGCATAGCATAGTATAGCATGGCGTAGCGCAGCATACCATAGTATAACAGCATAGCCTAGCATAACATAGCGCAGTCTGGCATACCCTAGCATAGCATAACATGGCATAGCATAGCGCAGCATAGCGCAGCATGTCGCAGCATAGCATAGCATAGCATATCATAGCGCAGCATAGCACAGCATAGCATAGCATAGCATCAAAGCAAAGGCAACGCAACAGCAGCCACAGCAAAGCACAAGCAACGCAAAGCAAAGCAAAGCAAAAGCAAAAGCAAAGCAAAGGAAAGGCAAAGCAAAGGCAACGTGCGACAGGTGCCGAGCTAGCCTCTGCGATTAGGAGGAAAAGGGGGAGGACGGCGTTCACCGTTACTACTAATATTGCTCTCCTCGGGGCTCCAACTCCTAGGTAGGGTCGCTCTGGGATTATTCCGTTTTGGATAGAGCATTGCGGTCTCCAGTCCTTCTCCTCCTCCTCCTCCCGCCTCCTGTCTCCCGCTCCCCTCTTGTCTCCTCTTGATGTGTGCGGATCTCGCCATCCCTGGGGGGCTGCGATCTGCGACACTGCCGCCATTTTCGAGGGCTGCTGGGAGGCCGTCCCTGGGGGGGGGGCTGTGATCTGTGACACTGTCGCCACTTTCGAGGGCTGCTGGTGGGTCCTGCGGAGTGAGGCACCGCGGGGATCTGAGCGGGACCTCGCCGTCTTTGGGGGGGTGGGATCTGTGACATTGTCGCCACTTTCGAGGGCTGTTGGTGGGTCCTGCGGAGTGAGGCACCGCAGGGGATCTGAGCGGGACCTCGCCGTCCCCCGGGGGCTGCAATTTGCGACACTGTCGCCACTTCCGAGGGTTGCTGGTGGGTCCTGCGGACTGAGGCACCGCGGGGATCTGAGCGGGACCTCGCCGTCTCTGGGGGGCTGCGATCTGCGACATCGCCGCCATTTTCGAGGGCTGCTGGTGGGTCCTGCGGAGTGAGGCACCGCGGGGATCTGAGCGGGACCTCGCCGTCCTTGGGGGGCTGCGGTCTGCGACATTGTCGCCACTTTCGAGGGCTGCTGGTGGGTCCTGCGGGGTGAAGCACCGCAGGGGATCTGAGCGGCACCTCGGCGTCCCTGGGGGGGCTGCAATCTGCGACACTGTCGCCACTTCCGAGGGCCGCTGGTGGGTCCTGCGGAGTGAGGCACCGCGGGGATCTGAGCGGGACCTCGCCGTCCCTGGGGGGTGCGATTTGCGACGTTGTCGCCACTTTCGAGGGCTTCTTGTGGTCACTGCGGAGTGAGGCACCGGCCGGATCTGAGCGGGACTCGCCGTCCTGATTTGCGACGTTGTCGCCACTTTCGAGGGCTGTTGGTGGGTCCTGCGGAGTGAGGCACCGCCGGGGATCTGAGCGGGACCTCGCCGTCCCTGGGGGGCTGCGATCTGCGACACCGTCGCTACTTTCGAGGGCTGCTGGTGGGTCCTGCGGAGTGAGGCACCGCGGGGATCTGAGCGGGACCTCGCCGTCCCTGGGGGCTGCGATATGCGACATTGTCGCCACTTTCGAGGGCTGTCGGTGGGTCCTGCGGAGTGAGGCACCGCGGGGATCTGAGCGGGACCCCGCCGTCCTTGGGGGGGTTTGGGGGAGCTGCTGCGGGGCACGTTAGGCGCAACGGGCGCATAGCACAGCCAACGGGGGTGATTTGTGAAACAGACCATCTGCCGGGCGATGGCCATAACGCGGCGCCTGCACGTATCCCGCGGGGCCTCCCAAGAGCTGCTGCGGGATACGTTGCGTGCAACGGGCGCATGGCACAGCCAACGGGAGTGATTTGTTATTACGCAGCCCTTAGATCTTGATCGAGGTCCTGCGAGCCTTCCGACTGCTGCTCGCAAAATCACACGCGTCTACGTTACGTCACCGCCCCCGTTGTGGCAATCCTGATGTAATTGTGCCCCGCATTGTGCGGGCGTTGGGTGCGTCGCCAGGGTAAGTTGTTTTGGCGTCGTTCTACAGAAGAAAATGTTGCTGCATACGTGTAGACAGTTTGTGCGGATATCCAGCGTCCTCTCTCTCTCTCTCTCTCTCTCTCCCTCTCATGCGCATGGTGCTACTTTCAAGTCTAGCATCTGTCTGCCGACGTTTCGGCTATGAGACGTTGGCGCGGGAGAGGGATCGCCCCCGCGCCGAGGAGAAAACATAGTGGCGGAGCCCCGAGTTCACTGGGGCAGCGATCCACGGCTTGCGCTCGCTGTGGCAGCGGGCGCGGCTCAGTCACATGGCGCTGACGACCTCTGGCGGACGGTGACAGATGCGGGCGCTGGGGGACATCAGGTCACACGATGCGTTCAATGGAATGCAGGATGGATTTGAGAGTGATTCCTTCACTTTGGAGGCTGAGGTCACTGAGATGGGGTGGGGGGAACCTAGTTAGCGCAGCAGTTAGACATTATGAATTCAGAGATTCTGGAGTTGTCTCGGCACCTGGGCACGTTCCTCGCGATGGAGATGAGAGGCAAGGCTCAGGCGATGACGAAGTCAGCGGGCGCTGGCAATGAGTTCGAGGCACTGAGGCAGATCTACGCGAACGACTGCCCACAGGGCGGCGCGTCGGAGCATGGCTTGCCCACGACGATCGCCCAGCCGAGGTGGTGGGCGAGCGACGATCGCTCGAGGTGGAGCTTCGCGGAGGCATTGCACGATTGGGGTCACGTGGTCACGCAGCATGAGCTAGCGAGCCATGACACGATGTCGGACAGGCTGAATTGCGCGACGATCATTGGCCACGCCCACCTCGCGGCTAGGATGGCCCTAGAGCACAACCTGGATGAGAACGCGAAGGCTTTCGCCCCGACTCTCCCCCCCTCCCCCCCCCACACCCCACCCCACCCCACCCACCCCACCCCGACTCCGCGGGGGGCTCGGGCGCGGCGCCCACGCAGGTGGATGCGATTGGCCAAGTTGACGCGATCGGCTTCGACAAGCCCCGTTGCATCTGCAAGGAGCTCGGCCGCATGGCGGAGCAGTGCTCGCCCAGCCAGAAGGGCAAGGGCAAGGATTCAGAGGGCTGCGGCAAAGGAAGAGACCACGGAAACAAGGGCGGCCACGGCGGCGGCCATGGCGGAGACAAAGGTGATCACGACAAGACCTGCCATTACTGCAAGGAGAACGGCCACATCAAAGCCACTTGTTTCAAGCTCAAGAAAGATTTGGAGGAGAAGAAGACAGGCACCGTCTATCTTGTCGAGGAGCAAGACGGCGAGGTCAACGCGATGGTCGCGCCGAGCGACGACTCTGACGAGTCTGGGTTCTGCACGGCGCTGGAGAGCTACGAGAACCACAACTCGATTAGTGCATCTCGGCTTACGACCTGTAACAGCTTCTGGCCACCCAAAAAAACAGCTTTAGAAACGCCGAGCCTTCTGGCGGCCGATTGGGCCGAAAACGTGCTGCTCTCGTGGCGCGCAGCTTTCTGGAAATCGATAGTTTGTACGCCGCGTGGAAATCCCCCCTTTCCGTCATCCTCCCCCTAACCCTCCTCATGCTCATCCCTCCCCCATCTAACCGCCCCCCCTCCTCATCACCTTCATCATCATCAGCATCACCGTCATGACCGATCTCATCTGCACCGCAATCATCATCACTATGATGTGCGTCGCGGTTATCGCCGCCATCATCGCTCGGTCGCTGGTCGAGTCACTCGACCAACGCCCAGGCGAAGATCAGGGACAACGACTCGACCAGCGACCAGGCGGAGATCAGGGACCACGACTCGACCAGCGACCAGGCGGAGATTAGGAACCACGGCTCGACCAGCGACCAGGCGGAGATCAGGGACTACGACTCCACCAGCGACCAGGTGGAGATCAGTGACCAGGACTCGGTCGAAGACCAGCTGGAGGACGAGTTCCGGCGCCACTACTGCGATGATGCACTAGTCATGGCGGTCGGCACTGGCGCACAGCCTGTGGACTACGACCTCGACGAGTTCTTGATGCTGGACGGCGGGGGCGACGAGCACCGCGCGAGGCGGACCTTCGCCAGGCACAGCGTGGTGGAGGAACTTCGTCTAAGCTAATGGCCGCCCAGAAGCAGCAGATTTCTCTCGATGGGGAAGCTCAGGTGCCATTCGCGATGGATGGTCAGGTGGTCTGCAACGCCATCTTCAAGATCGGCCCCTTTGCTCGCAATCTCCTCAGCACTGGCAAGGTCCATGATGCAGGCCTCGACGTGATCCACTCCCACTGCGAAGGCTGCTACGTCGGGCTCCGCAAGCCCAACGACGCATACGTCAAGGCCCCGATGATTCGGAAGAGGAACACGTTCGGCGCGCCTGCGAACGTGCACAAGGACATCCAGGACGCGAAGCGCGCGATCAAGGAAGGGAACCGGCAGGCAGGAGGTCGTTGCAGCCAACGAGGACGCGGCGATGAAGGACGAGGGGGCCGTCCAGGCGGACGGAGCTGCAGCGTCTGCGCCCATGGCAGAGGGCGCCGGGTCGGCTTCGTCGGGGTCTGGCGGCGCGGCCCCCAGGGTGGCTCCAGCGGCGGCGGCTGAGCCGGCGGAGGGGCCACCAGTGAGGAGCCCAGCAGGAGCAGAGCTGGGACTTGGGTCTCGAGTCGACCTGCTACGAGCTCGCCTGAAGGAGCTGAGCGCTTCGATCTACGGCACCAAGGAGCAGAGTCGCCTAGTCCACGCCGAGCCCCAGCACAAGCAAGACCTCGATTTCAAGAAGGCTGTCGAGGAGCGGCACCAGCAGCAGGTTGACGGCCAGCCTGTGACAGAGGCCAGGGTCGTTGAGGCACCCTACTCTCGACGGAGATCGACAAGGAGCAGCACGAGGCCCCTGGTCACGCGGCGTTCAAGAAGTGGCGCCCTGGGTGCGTCTTCGGCCTGGGGCCCGAGGACCCGCACGTCAAGCAGCCCGTCTACTGCGGGACCGTCAGGGACGAGCTGATCATCTTCGATTGGGCCTTCAACGACACCAAGGACACCGACAATGTCTGCAACGAGGCCGACAAGGGCCCTGGCACGTAGCTCGCGGTCGCTGGCCGCAACACAGGGCTTCTCCACGGCAACACACTAGGGAGCAAGGCTGCAGATGATCACGCGACCAAGCACCTCATGAGGTTCACGCAGCAGCTGGCGCATCAGAAGCCCGAGCTCAGGTGCTACACTGAGCCTGCGGTGAAGGCGCTCCAAGACAAGGTTGCCAATGCTAGGAGCGAGGAGAGCCTCGAGACCAGGGTCTCGCAAGGCCGCGCGAGGGACAGCAAGCCGATGGGCTTCGTCGAGACGCGCATTCGGCGGTGGTGTGGGCGTTCAAAGGCGAACAGGGCCCAGGCCGAGAGGAACTATGGGATCAAGCTCATACCGCAGTCTCCCCTTTGGCCGTTCCTCGCTCACCACGCTGCGAATGCGGCGAACTGGTTCAGCAGGAGTGCAGACGGGTACACGGCCCACTTTGCAGTCTACGGCATGAACTACACTGGAGCTGCGGCGCCATTCGGCGAGACAGTGATGGCGAGGGTCACAGACTCCAGGACGGGCCAGCGGCGGTCGATGGGAGGCCACGCCACCAGGCTTACCATGGCTGACACGGCCCGGGTGAAAGGGGATCTGGGTCGGCAAGACGACCAACAACGACGAGCGCATCATCCTCACGGTCGCTGGGAAGGTGACCGGCAGGACCGTAAGCAGGCTGCCAAAAGGCAAAACCCACGACAAGGAGCTGTTCCTGAAGGTCTGCGGAGAGCCCTGGAAGGAGAGGATCGCCCACATGCCCTGCTCCCTCGTCATGGGCGGCGGCAAGGGCGAGGTCGCGCCGACGCCGCTGGAGGCCATGGGCACGGAGGCCGAGGGGGCAGCCTCAGAGGCAGCCCCGCTTGCAGGCGAGCCGCAGGAGAGGTTAGATTCTCCGCGGGGGCTGCTGCGAGCTCGAGCAACGGGCCCAGTGGCCCCGATGGGGCCAGCAGCAGCGGTGGTCAAGACGCTGCGATGCCAGCTGTTGCGAGTTCGGCAACGGGCTCGGCTACGAGGCCAAGGTCTCCGAACGGCGACGCCATCCTCGGGCGTCGCGTTTCGAGGATATGATCGCCGGGGCCGTCGAGGACATCAGCGAGCAGCTTGACTACATGGCGCTCCCGACGGCGAAAGAGCTTACAGACTGGAACACCAGTGGCTTCCCCATGGAGGAGGCGGCGCAGGCCATCACCAAGGGTCTGAAACGTGCGACGAGTCCGGCATCTACTCATCCCATCCTCGGACCGCCTCCGAAAGCAAGAAGAAGGTCGACACTAAGTGGGAGAAGAAGGATCGTGCGGGGGTCCTTAGGTACAGGCTTGTGGAAAGGGAGTTCGCTTGACTCGAGGAGCGCGACGACTTGTTTGCGCCAGGGTCAACATCATTGACCAGCCGGGCCATTGACTTCCTCAGCCTCAAGGACGATGACTTTCCAGATGACCCGCTCGTGGTTGCTGTTGGTGACGTCGCGAGCGCATACTACCAGGTACCCGAGAAGGAGGAGTTCTATTGCGACCCCCCGCCTGAGCGGCTCGCTGCTCGAGCCGAGGCAGGCCTTTCCGCGTACGTCGTCTGGAAGTTGGAGAAGCAGGTTCCTGGCAGAAGGGCGGCGAGTCGTGAGTGCGTCGGCTATGCTGCCGGCCACCCCCTGGATTGTGGGCTTGAGCTGAACGACGCCAGCTCGAAGTCCTACCGCAAGCCGATGACCAGGCTCGGTCTGGAGCTACACATGGTCAGGACGAAGCGGAAGCTGAAAGACAGCGACGTTGTCATCGAGGGCCGGTTCGAGTACTTGAAGCGCACCACGATCAGGACCGACGAGGGCATCTTCTTGCAGCCGCAGGAGAAGCGCAGCATGAGCATCATCTCCGAGTTGGGGCTGAAAGGTGCGAAAGCGGTCAAGGCTCCAGACATGGGGCCAGAAGAGATCTTCGAGCACTCCCCACCCCTGGTCGACAAGCAGATTTCGAGGCATCGTTCACGCGTGGGGAGTGGGCTCTACTTGGCACAGGATCGCGCGGACATCCAGCGGGCAGTGGGAATGTTGGCAGCTGACCTGGCGAACCCGACTGAGCACTTCTGGAAGAGGCCGATTCGGCATGGGCGCTATTTGGTCGGCGCCAACGAGCTGGGCGCGTTCCTCCCGAAGGTCGACGCGAAGATCTACAAGAAGGGCGCGATCAGTGATCATGGCGGAAAGAAGGCAAAACGCAAGAGCACTACCTGCGGGGTTGCGTGTGCGGAAGGGGTGGCGTTGGCGACGCTGGTTCGGAGGCAGGACTTGATAGCTGTGAGTTCGGGTGAGAGCGAGTTCTACGCACTGACCACAGTGGCGATGGACGGCAAGATGGCGAGGGACCACTTCACCTGGTTCGGGTTTCGTGTCGAGTGGACCTTGGAGACCGACTCTTCAGCAGCTCGGTCGATTTCCTTAAAACAGGGAGCCGGGGAGGTCCGCCATCTGGACACGAGGGCTCTGTGGGCGCAGCACGCGACGCGCCTGCCGGGGTGGAAGGTCCCGAAGTGCAAAGGGAGCGAGAATCCAGTTGACATCGGAACGAAGTCACACGCGGCCGACGCGCACGAGCAGTTGTGCAAGCAGGCTGGACCACGTCGCTTGAGCGGCGACTTCGGGGCAGTTCGTGAGGTCGAGGAGAACGCGGCGATTGAGAGGCTTGGGCGGGCTGCCCGCGGCGCGCAGTTTAGTGGGGGGGTTCCGAGCAGCCCGACCCTCAATACGGCAATACTGGCGTTATGCTTTTCTACTCGGGCGCAGCAGGGGAGATGACACCGAGACGATGGAGTACGGCATGATGGCCCTGCCCATAATGATACTATTCTCCTGGCTCGTAATGTTCGTGATGGGCTGCGCGGCAGGGTGCTGATGCTCGAGAGGGCGCGAAGCGGCCCCCCCTCTCGCTGAGGGCGAACGACTACGGGAACGAGGTGAGCATGCAGAGCGTGCAGGGTGCACACTTCATAAACCATCTGGGCGATGATGATCGAGCGGTGCACTTGGAGAACAGCTGCAAGCATCATCTTCAGGGCGCGCATCACGCTGGGCGCCGCTTGAAGCAGCGGCGCACGTGCAAGCAGTGTTCCAAGAAGTTGCAGTGAGAGGTTGGTGAAGATTTGAGCCTTGAGCCCGACGGCTATTCCGCTCACGTCGAGCGGGGTTTCAGGCGCACTGTTTTCGAGAGAGGAGAGTCCCCTGCGAGGGGGTGTAGACACTCTGTGAGAATATCCAGTGTCCTCTCTCTCTCTCTCTCTCTCTCTCTCTCATGCGCATGGTGCTATGTTCAAATGTAGCATCTGTTTTGCCGACGTTTGGGCGCTGAGATGGTGGCGCGGGCGAGGGGTCGCCCCCGCGCCGAGGAGAAAACAGTGTGCATATGTATACCCACACACATTGTCCCGGCAACCGGGGTTCCCAGTTCGCGCCGGCGCCGAAGACGCTATTTGAAGACGCTATTGCGGGTGACGACGCGTCCCTGTGAAGACGCTATCTTTTGTGAACACGCTATTCCCGGTGAACACGGTGAAGACGCTATTCCAGGTGAAGACGCTATTCCTGGTGAAGACGGTGAAGACGCTATTCCGGGTGAAGACGCCTTTCTGGGTGAAGACTCTGTTCCTGGTGAAGAAACGTTCTGCTGACACAAACAGCACTTCCCTTATGAACTCCATTCCGGGTGAAAACGAGATTCCTAGTGAAGACGCTATTCGCTGTGACTTCGCTATTCCGGGTGAAGACGCTATTCCTTGTGAAGACGCTGTTCCGGGTGAAGACGCCATTCCCGGTGAAGACGCTATTCCCGGTGAAGGCGCTATGGTGAAGACGCTATTCCCGGTGACGTTTTTTTTTGTAGAGACGCTATTCTGGGTAAAGACGCTATTCCGGGTGAAGACGCTATTCCCGGCGAAGACGCCATTCCGGATGAAGACGCTATTCCTGGTGAAAACGCTATTCCCGGTGAAGACGCTATTCTTCGTGAAGACGCTATTCCGTGTGAATACGCTATTCCCGATGAAGACGCTATTCCGGGTGAAGAGGTTATTCGCGTTGAAGACGCTATCCCGGTCGAAGAGTCTATTCCGGGTGAAGACGCTATTGCCGGTGAAGGCGCTATTCCGTGTGAAGATGCTATTCCTTGTGAAGACGCTATTCCGGGTGTAGACGCTATTTTGGATGAAGACGCTATTCCGGGTGAAGACGCTATTCCCGGTGAAGACTCTATTCCGGGTGAGGACGTTATTCCTTGTGAATACGCTTTTCCGGTGAAGACGCTTTTCCCGGTAAAGACGCTGTTCCTTGTGAAGACGCTATTCCGGGTGTAGACGCTATTTTGGGTGAAAACGTTATTCCGGGTGAAGACGCTATTCCCGGTGAGGACGTTATTTTCGGTGAAGACGCTATATTCCCGGTGGAGACGCTATTCCTGGTGAAGACGCTACTCCTTGTGAAAATGCTCCTTATCTTACCATGCACAGTATTCAACGCGCTGCCCTCCCAATTGTGATTCGAAAGTGCCATTTTACTCCACGCTTTCCTAGCCTAACACAACGCGTGCCCCATCTGCTGTGCAACACCCTCTGCTAGGCAAGACCCCTCCCCAAATTGATAAAAAAGAATCGCTAGACATGCCCCATCTGCTGTGCAACACCCTCTTTTGGGCAAGACCCCTACCGGGGGACCCCTCCCCAAGTTGATTAAAAGAGAATCCTTGGTGCTTGACGTGCCCCATTTGTTGTGCGGCACCCTCTGCCAGGCAGGACCCACCCCCAAGCTGATAAAACAAACCCTTGATGTTAGACGTGCCCCATGTGCTGCACGGCGCCCTCTGCTAGGCAAGACCCCTCCCCAAGTTGATTTAAAAAAATCATTGGTGCTAGACGTGCCCCATTTGCTGCATAGCACCGTTGTTAGGCAATGGCCCTCCCCAAGTTGATTTTAAAAAGAATCCTTGGTGCTAGGCGTGCCCCATCTGTTGTGCGGCACCTTTTGCTAGGCAAGACCCCTCCCCAAGTTGATGAAAAAAGAGTCCTTGGTGCTAGATGTGCCCATTGCTGTGCGGCACCCTCTCCAAGGTGAGCCCCTTTGCTGCGAGGCACCTTGTGCTAGGCAAGACCCTTCCCCAAGGCAATTAAAACAGAATCCCTGGTGCTAGACATGCATTTTGCTGTGCGGCACCCTATGCTAGGCAAGACCCCTCGCCAAGTTAATTTAAAAAGAATACTTGGTGCTGGACATGCCCCTTTGCTGTGCGGCACCCTCTGATAGGCAAGAGCCCTTCCCAAGTTGATTTACAAAGAATCCTTGGTGTTTGGCGTGCCCCACCTGTTGTGCAGCTCCTTTGCTAGGCAAGACCCCTCCCCAAGTTGATGAAAAAAGAGTCATTGGTGCTAGATGTGCCCCTTTGCTGCGCGGCACCCTCTCCAAGGTTAGCCCTTTTGCTGCGCGGCACCTTGTGCTAGGCAAGACCCTTCCCCAAGTTAATTAAAACAGATTCCCTGGTGCTAGACATGCATTTTGCTGTGCGGCACCCTATGCTAGGCAAGACCTCTCGCCAAGTTGATAAAAAAAAATACTTGGTGCTAGACAGGCCCCTTTGCTGTGCGGCACCTTCTGATAGGCAAGAGTCTTCCTCAAGTTCATTAAAAGAGAATCATTTCAAAAAGAGAGCCCGGCTGAGCCCGGTGAGCCCCCGGAGGCCCCAGGGGGTTCCTGAGGCCTCCTGGTGCGTTCTGGGGCTGTCTTAGCCCCTCCCGGTGCCCTCTGGAGCTGTCTTGGCCCTCTCCTGGGGCGCGAATCCTTTGTGTTAAACGTATGTGCCAATATATTGGCCTTTTCTTGGGGCGCGAGTCCATTGTGTTTCACGCATGTGCCTATAGATTGGCCGCATCATGGAACGCGAATCCTTAGCGTGTTACGTGATGCGTAGAGATTTGCCTTCTTCTGGGGTGCGAATCCTGTGTGTTTTACACATGTGCGTATAGGTTGGCCCTCTCCTGGGGCACGAGTACTTTCTGTGTTTCGCGCGTATACCTTTAGATCGGCCCTTTCCAGGGGCGCGAATCTTTCGTGTTTTACGCGTTTGCTTATAGATTTGCCTTCCCCTGGGGCACGGGGCCCTGCGTGTTTTACGTATGCGCATATGGATTTGCCCCCTCCTGGGGCACGAACCCTTCGTGCTTTACGCATGCGCATATCGATTTGCCCTCTCCTGGAGCACGAATCCTTCGTGTCTTACGTGTGTGCATATAGATTGGCGTTCCCCTGGGGCACGAATCCTTTCGTGTTAACGTATGTGCCAATAGATCGGCCTTCTCTTGGAACACGAATCCTCTTAGTGTTTTACGTGTGTGCCTATAGATTGACCCTCTCCTAGGGCGCGAATATTTCGTGCTGCACGTGCGCGCTGATAGAGTGGTCGCATCATGCGGGACGAATCCTTAGCGTGATTGGCCCTCTCCTGGGGCACGATCCCCTTCGAGGGGCGCGAATCTTTTGCATTTTACGTAATCGCTTATAGATTTGCCCCCCCTTGGGGCACGAACCTTGCGAAGCGTCACGAGCTTCACCGGGCGTCAGGAAATAGAGACTTCAGGCCGAATAAAGGCTTCAAAAGGTTCATCGGGCGTCGAGGATGAGGCTTCAGGCCGAATAGAGGCTTCACGAGCTTCACCCGGCGCAAGGGGAAAAGAGGCTGCAGGCCGAATAGAGGTTTCACGAGCTTCAGCGGGCGTCAAGGGAATAGAGGCTTCAGGCCGAATAGAAGCGTCATGAGCTTCACCGGGCGCCAGGGGAATAGAGGCTTCAGGCCGAATAAAGGCTTCACGGGCTTCACCAGGCGTCAGGGGAGTAGAGGCTTCAGGCCGAATAACGAGCTTCAATGGGCGTCAGGGAAATAGAGGTTTCAGACAGACTAGAGGTTAGACTTCAGGCCGAATAGAGGCTTCACGAGCTTCACCGGGCGACATGGGAATATAGTCTTCAGGCCGAGTAGAGTCTTCACGAGCTTCAACGGGCGTAAAGGGAATAAATGGTTCAGGCCGAATAGAGGCGTCACGAGCTTCACCGGGCGCCAAGGGAATAGAGGCTTCAGGCCGAATAGAGGCTTCACGAGCTCCACCGGGCGCTAGGGGAATAGAGGCTTCAGACGGAATAGAGGCTTCACAAGCTTCAATGGGCGCCAGGGGAATAAAGAGTTCAGGCCGAATGGGCGCTTTTAGGGTCGCTACCCCACCAGCGCGTCGCAATTAGCAGGCCGAATAGAGGCGCCACGAGCCGAATAGAGGCGCCCTGCCGAATAGAGGCAGGACGACTAGAGGTTTCACGAGCTTCAATGGGCGTCAACGGAATTGAGGCTTCGGGCCGAATAGAGGCTTCACGAGCTTCACCAGGCGTCAGCGGAATAAAGGCGTCACCGCAGCTCCTTAGGGGAACAGCGTCTTCAAATAGCGTCTTCGGCGACGGCTCGAACTGCGGATCTCTCTCTCTCTTTCTCTCTCTCTCTCTCTCTCTCTCTCTCTCTCTCTCTCTCTCTCTCTTCTCTCTCTTCTCTCTCTCTCTCTCTCTCTCTCTCTCTCTCTCTCTCTCTCTCTCTCTCTCTCTCTCTCTCTCTCTCTCATATATATATATATACATATATATATATATATATCAGTGAGGA